AGATGAATAAAACTATGTCAAGGGACAGCATAAACCAATTGCCAAAGTAAACAGTAATAATGAGAACATCTTCAAAGCAGCCAAAGCAAAGTGACACAAAAAATGATCAAACTTCTCATCAGAAACTATGAAAAAAGAAATGTTTAAAGCACTGAAAGGAAAAAGTACATATCAAATTAGAATTCTATTTCCATCAAAAAAATACCTTTCAAAAATTAAGGTAAAGACTCAGACATACAAAAGTCGAGTGAATTCATTGCCAGCAGACCTATACTACAAGAAATATTAAAGGAAGTTATTCGGGCAGAAGGAAAATGATACCAGATAGAATTTTGGATCTCAAATATGGAAGAAAAAAACACTGGCAATGGTAATATATTGGTAAACATAAAATACTTTTTTTTCTTAATTTCTTTTAAAGATAACAATGTTTAAAGCAAAAATAATGATGATGAATTGTAGAGTTTATAATATATATGGAATTCAAATATACAAAAGCAAAGTATAGGAGGCAGAAATGAAATTATACCATCGTAACGTTCTTAAAATATATATAAATGTACTATTACTTGGATGTCAAGTGTGATGTTAAAGATGTATATTGTAAACCCACTTAAATGGAATAACAACCAAAAAAAAAAAGATACAGCTAATTTACCAATAGTGAAGATAGAATGGAATTTAAAAATACTTAATCAAAAGAAGGTAGGAAAAGAGAATAAAGAACAAAGAACAGAAGGGACAAAAGAAAGAAAATACCATAAAAACATGTTAAACATTATTAGTCATTAGGGAAATGCAAATTAAAACCACAATGAGGTACTGCTATATACTTTCTCAAAAGGCTTTTTTTTTTAAGGAGGTAATAGCTCACATTTCAATCCTCATATAGGGATTGAACCTGCACACTTAGCATTGTTAGCATCATGCTCTAACCAACTGAGCTAACCAGCAACCCTCAAAAGGCTAAATTTCAAATGATTCTCTTGCAATGTCAGCTTTTGGAGAGGAGGTGGATCACTAGAATTCTCATACACTGCTGGCAAAGATACAAAACTATATAATCACTTTGGAAAGTAATTTGGCAGACTCTTATGAAGTTAATCAAACACTTACCATTCAATCCAGCAATTCCAATCCATAAATTCACACAAAGACTTTTACTCAGATATTCATAGCAGCTTCATTCCAATTTATTCTAAATTGGAAACAACTAAAACACTCATCAACTGGTTGGTGAGTAGATACACAAACTGTGATACACCCATACAATGGAATACTACTCAGCAATAAAAAGAAACAAACTACTGACACATCTAATAATGTGGATGAATCTCGAAAGCATTATGCTAAATGTAAGAAGCTAGACACAAAAGAGTACTTACTATATGTTTTCAATGACATGAAATTCTAGAAAATGCAAACTAATACAGTGACAACAAGATTAGGGATTGCTCAGGTCTAGGGGTAGAGTATATAGGAGGTAAGGGTGAAATATGTGGATTTATGCCAAAGAGACAAAAGGAACATTTTGGGGGTAATGAAAATGCTGATTGTGGTGGTTCTTACAGCATTTATACATTTGTTGAAACATGTCAAATTGTACATTTTAAATGTGTGCAGTTTATTGTGCATAAATTATACCTCAATAATGCTGTTTTTAAAAGTGGGGTGGAAGAAATGGAAACAAAAGAGTGTCGATATTTTCAGTCATAGGAATACCATCCCTTAATTATCACTGATGTGCACTCCAAACCCAACAAGTGCCATCCACATCAGCAAAATTCTGAAAGCACAGGTCAAGTTAGAAACAAATGCATGAATGTTCCTAATTTTTAAGGCCCACTCTAGCTTGTAAAGCAATGTTTTCATTCTGGTTTTGTTTAGAGAACTGCTCAGCACTGCCCTGATCACATTAATCTATACTCTCTTTTAGAGAAGGACATTGTCACATCACATTCTTCCCAGAGCACATAAAAAAAAAATCAAATGAGTTGTTTGTTGAATGAACTAATAAGTGACCAAATCAATCAATAAATAAATGAGAGTGAAGAACTTATGATCCCAACACATCTATATACATTATTTTTTTCTTGTAGCAAATGCCATCTATTCATCTTTAAATGTAGTAAAACAGCACTCATTTGAGCACGACGAATTTAAAATTTTGAAGAATTTGTACAAGCAGGGCTCAGATTTATCTTTACATTGTTGGGGAAAAATTCATACAGCCAAACAATAGTAAAGTAACATGGCGCTGATTCCCACCCTATTTTACATGGCATTTCAGAGTTTACGACGCCTTTCTCCTCTTACCCCTCTGAACCGCCTTCTCTGTTGGTTCCCCCCCCCCCATGGGCTTATCCACCTCCTCCCACCACCACATGAAGTTGTCCAGGGTGCCATCATTGGCCACCTTCCCTTGTCATTCTATATACTCTTGCTGGGAAGCCACATGGTTCTAGCAATTTCAGCTCCCAGATGATGCCAACCAAAACTCATCACCAATACCCACCTCTTTCCTGAGCTCCAGAAAATACCTTGCAGATAATCAAGCCATACGCCAACCAAACTTTTTTTTTTCCTGCTGTCTGTTTTATTTATTGGAATTTCCTTCTACTCAGTTAACCAAGTCAGAAATTGGAGAGTCATTCCTGATAACTTCCTCTCCCTCGTCTTCCCACATGTAATCTCACCAAGTACTAGTATTTCCATATTCCAAATGTTCTTGGAGTCCTTCCTTTCTGTGTCAGACACAAACCTCATGTACCTCACTAATTCTCTCCAATGCTTCCTTCCTGCCTATGGCTCCAACAGCCTCCCAGCCCGAACTAATCACCTGTCCTTGAAATGCTAAGCACAGCTCAGAGTGAACCCGCTGTGAGCCCAGAGTGTTAGGGTCTCTGCCACTTCCAGACTTGGATGGAACATGACACTACGGAGTGTGGGATCTGGCATCTTGCCGAGATGCCCTATTGAAGGAGCTGGATAGCACCAGTCAGAAGTATGTTAACTCTCCATGGGGTAAAAACAGGAGAGAGGAGGGATCCAGGCAGACAAAATTTATCTTCCTTCATCTCTTCATGGGCTTGCCCTAGACACGGCGTTTCCTTGTATCCTGTCTGGAAAAGTTCAATATGCTGAGCAATGCAGAGCAGCACACCTGCCGACTGACCTGCTATTTCCCCTCATAGCTTGCTGACAGCAGTACACATCACAGTAAATTACCACTTGTCATGGCTTCACATCTAGCCATCCTGGTAACTCATCACTGCACATTATACAGAGGCTGGCATGTAATACGCACTCAATAACAGAAGCTATTGTTATGATACTACGATATTTTGTAACCCAACCAGTCAATGCCATCATTCTTTTTCTTTCTTATAAAGCCCAAGCATTGTCTGAAACCTGACATTTGCAATGGATCGATTTGTATCCATTTTATTACATATAAACCAAACATAGCTTCCATAGAAAATGCCTGGAAGAAGAGACCTGAATATCAGAGGTGATTTTTTGGGGGGAAGGGATCCTGGGTTTTTGTTGATGTCATCGTTTAATATATTTTTCCAAAATTTTTACATTTTTCTGCAACAACATATATTTTATTCACAATCAAAATAAGATGATTAAACTTTTACTCATCTCTTGTTGTAAAAGCAATAAGGTAAATAGATGATACATAATAGACAGCATTAATAAACAGCAAGAATAATCCATTCTGATCTTATTGAATGAAATGGTTGGCATTTAAGATAGCTTGAGTAGCCTTATTGCTAAGTTTTGGTAGAATTGTTGGAGATCTAAATAGGGCCTGCCAACACCATCACTACCAAAATAGCCCAAGGAGCTTGAGGACTCCAGGTTGGGAACTCCTAAAGGTGCTGAAGTCTAACATTGTATATAAGATTTGAACCCTGACCATATTATTAATGAAAAACCAACTCCACCTATTAAAAGCTAACATACAACTCTGGGCTATTTCTAATAACTTCTTTAGAAAAGTGTGGAGAGCCTCAAAAGAAGTGATTGTTTTTATTCTTGTCATCTGTTTTGTTCCCTACTTCACTGATGATATTTCTAAGACTGTCTAGATGTTTTCTGAAGTCAATAAAATTGTTGAGCATCTTAACTAGGATACTTCTCAGTTTCTCAAGACACAGGCCTGGAACTGGGTGACTTAAATCCGTTATCTCTAAGTGTGGTATCTGTCTCCACTTTCCATTCTGAGACGAAATAAGTCAGTTAAAGGAAGGATGGCACAAGGCCATCTCGATTAGAAGTTCTACGCTGAAAAGCAAACATGTATTTCCAGGTGTTCCATATTTCAAAATTCTGCCAGTTTGTCTTCTGGGGACTGAAATGAGGCTGACAACAGATCGAAATGTAAGCTACATAAGCATCATAGAACCACAGCTGAAAACGCCACAGATTATCTCCATGGTACTGAAATGCACCCCTATGACAAGCCACAGCAACAAAAAAAATGTGTTTGATCACATTTTTCACCCCTTTACATAAATATCCCAATAGGTTTTTATGCCCCTTTTCTTTGCTTGCTCTGCCTTAATCCTCTTTCCTCTCTTTTTCAACTTTACTTAATTCAGACTATATGGAACTCACAAACTGAAGCAGAACAGGTCTCCTTCACAAAGCTGCCCCCACACCAGTCTGACAGGAGGTCACTGCTATGGGCTGTACCCTGAGTTTAGTTGCGGCCCTGGAATCTCAGTGTATTTTGCTTTCCCCCATTGTCTTCCTAAATGAAAGGACAGTCAGTTTGAGCTTTGCTAGTTGGTGAAATTATATGTCTGTTCAAGAAAAGAAGTAAAGAAATATTGTATCCTTACCAATTTCTTAAGAAATAAGAAAATTCAGACAAATAAAGAGGGGAGAGCCCCAAAGAGGAAACAAAAATTGTGAAAAGAAACTTTTCAAAGTGCCCAATCTCTAAGAAAGGTAGAGTACTCTACAACCAGGTCTTTATTCTGAAATACCTTTCTTGGGTGGCATCCTGGGGGTGTCCTGTCAGAATGTCTCAGTCACTGGCTGACCCAGAGAAGGATGACAGGTTGAAGAGACAAATGTTTCAGGTTTGGTTCGGCACATCCACACACTTCTGCCTGTCGCTGAAAGGGCTCCCTGGTGCCATTTCACAGTCTGAAACATAAGAAGGTACTAATTTCCTCACCATTAAATTTTCATGAATGTTTAGTTTGCCATTTAGGGATGCAGAACTCAGGTCAAAAGGGCTGTACTGGGGGCTCATGTTTGGAATAAAACTAAACTGATCACATAAGTACTATCCAAAGCCAGTCTGGCTTCATCCAACACTGTATATGTTTGCCTGCCTTATTTTAAATGCCTTCCATTCTAAGGTTTATCCTAATTACGTATACTGAGGGCGGTGTAAGTGAATGCACTCTTAGAAAGGTGAGAAATACTGACCGCTAGGTATACTTGGTAAATTAAATGAGTAAATAAAGAAGATACTCCCACACCTGGAGTTCGGGTTTAAGCAGTAAAGCAACAGAGCATTCAACTTAGCAATCAATCTCCAATACGGGGAAACCTGGAGACATTGAATTCATTTTCTCAACTTCTCTGAAAATAAAGCTTGCTATAAGAGGAAAGTACTATTTTCTGGGCAAATTTTTAAACCTTTTTTTTTTAATCAAAACTTCTCATAGGAAAGTAATCATCTTTTCTTATAATGATAAAAAAATTGCCATCATTAAAAGCAAGAAAGGGACAAAAAGCGCTGAAATTTAATGTTGCAAACTGCACAGCCTTTTTGAGAATGAGGACACTGGCATTCTCTGGTTACTTTGGTGATAGCCACTGACCTTGGCAATAGGAAGCAATGTTCTGAAATGGATCCTGGTGGTACATTTACACCACAGCAGCTTTTGGCTTCACAAATGGATTTGTGCACAGATCTGACCCTTCTAGAATATGAAGGCTAGTACATAGATTATAGCCAAAATGTGTAGCACACTCAAAATTATGACTTAAACCAAAGCTCTGTAAGGCTGATGCTCACCAAGTTTTGTCCTATTTGGACTCTAGATCGTAACTGTAATAGTAAAATAGGATATAGCTGGTACAAGTACTTATATTGAAAGATGCCCAGAGTGGTTCTTCAACTTGGGAATTTATAAAGAGATTAAGAAGTTTTGTTGCAAATCATTGGACCTATAATCTAAAGTGCTAACAGTATATAATTTAATTTATAACTTAAATATAAATATACAAAATAACTCTAAATACTATTCTGATAAAAACCATAATAAACATATGAATAAATTAACAAAAGATGTCCTGCAAGCCTCGTATCCAGAAAATTATAAAAGCAATACCAAACAAAATATTAAAGACAGAAGCCATAAAAGGAACAAAAATAGGTGAATTCAACTCTATTAAAATAAGAAATTTTTATCAAAACATTTTTCAAAGAAACTTTAAAAAGTAGAAGATATTTCAATCACAGAGCACTTCATAAGACTATAAAAATAAAGAACTTCTACTTATCAACAAGAAGATAACCACCCCAAAAGGAAAAAAAAAGCAAAAGATCTGAATACTTCACATGTGAAGATACAAAATAACATGTAACCCAACAAAAAAACAAACAAAAACATGAACAGTAATTTCACAGAAGAGGGAAACACAGAGCTAATAGACATATAAAGAAAGGCCAATCTCATCTATAGGAACACACATCAAGGCCACTAGCAGTATGGATATGTAGTTTCACAACCTTGGGAGCTTCCCAGGGTGACATCTGAAACTGCCCCTCATACACAGAGGTCTAGGAGAGCTAGAGGAAAAAGACAGGCCACTCCAGACTGGTAGATGGCAAATTTAACAAGCAACGGAGCTTACATACAAGGCTTGTCTCAGGTGGCAACAAGACGAGTAGGTCTCTGCACTGCCCATCAGAATCTTTAAAGTTTATATATAGAGGCCTAAACAGGTTCAGTCACGTATGGTCTCAACAACATATTATATCTCAAGTCTGTGTCCTCGAGGCAGCTTCTGGTGTGGGGAAGGCAGGCAGAGTGCATATTCCCAGGACAGGAGAGGGGGTAAGGAGCCTCCAATTACCCAGATTGCCTGGGTCAAACTCGAGGGTCAATTAGTGGTCATGTCCTCTTGATGACCTCCTCCAACACTCCACCCTTCATTACTGGCTCTTACAATCTTACATGACCCCCACCTCCACAATGTGCCCTGAGCAAGGGGGTTCATTACCATGGAGGTGGTTCATTGGCTGCTATCTGAACTAAAGGCAGCTACCATAGCAACAATGTAGGCACATGCGAAGGAAAACACAAACTAAGATAATGATTTCCAAAGTAAGTAACAAGTTTTTCAAGAGTGCCATGATCTGAACCACTGATTTATTAAACTCCCGAGGCTGGGGGTAAGATCACTCAGGGTGTTCACTTGTATCCTCATGTGCTTTAATAAAGATGATACATTGACAGACTCATCAGGTATAAACACAGAACATTCTGCTTAGAGCATGACACAGGTGCCTCCTTGAGAGGCAGTAATAATGTCCAAGGCCATTCTATTTTGGAAGACAGCTTCTTTCACTAGAGACATTTCAGTGTTCAGTAAGCACTGGCTTTGCTAGGCATCCTTTAAGACTTGTTGGGTAAATGCAGTAAGGGCTTCTAGGTGTGCTCTAAGGTTTTCCAGGCCAATGGAGGGGGGGAAAGACTGTGGCTGATGATCAGTCGTACCAGTGGAAAACAGGATGTGCCCTTCTGGACTTGAGAGGGAGGTAGGCAACCTTTGTTACTATGTGTAATTGGCCCATTTTAGGGATGTGGAGAAGGACAACATAAACAGATCTCTAGCTACCATCCCTTGACATATTACAGGACTGTGCAGGTAGCCTTGAGGAAGCAACTGAAAAGTCCACTGTTGCCTCAATATGTCCTCACGTGAGGACATATTGATCTTGTGACTCAGTAGCTTGGGTATACTAAAAAAAGCATTTGCTAAGTCCAGTACAGCATGCTACATTCCTAAGATCATAGCCAGTGTATCTAAGATGGTGGCAATGTTGGGCACAGCTGCATGGTTGTTTAATTCTCGATCGTCTATAGTCATCCACCATGAGCCAGCTGGCGTTTTTTATTGGCCATACCAGTCTGTTGAAAGCACTATGAGCAGGGTGTACAATGCACCCCCAGAGAAGTTCTTGCATAGTTTATCCTATTTCCTCGTGCCCCCTGGCAATTTATATTGTTTGAGAGTTACCATTATTTCCTAGGGTTCCCAATTGGCATTTCCCCTTAGCACTGGTTTGATCACTGTTACCCAGAGGAAGAATTCACCCATAGAGGTTTGTAGAGTTTGACCTTGTAGGATGTCAATGATCAAAATGTTTATGATTGTTAATAATCTTTTTACACTTTCCCTTGTGGGTTCCATGAGGGCAGGGACACCTCATCTTTCATCTCTAGATTCCACATCATTTGTCAGCACGCCTGGATGAAAGCTCACCAAATAGCCCTTTGAATATGGACAGGACTGAATAATAAACACAGTTGCCTTCTGAGTAATACAACTCAGTTTCATGCCCAGTAATTGTCATGAGTTTGAGAGGCAGATTGTTTAAGTGGAAAAAATACAAGCTTCAGAGTCAGCCAAATCTAGGATCAAACTTCCAGCTCTGTTACTAACCAGCTCGGCGTCCTTGGAATAATAACCTAATGTCTTTGAGACTCCATTAGAACAAATGATGATCATAAAATATACCTTATAGGGCTGTTTGAATGTAAATGATGTAGTGAATATATGTAAAGAATCTGGCATATAGTAGTAGTTCAATAAATAGTAAGCATTTTTCGGCCGGCCGAGTGGCTCAGTTGGTTAAGAGCTCGCTCAAGAGTTTGAGCTCTGAGCAACAGCGGTTCAATGCCAGCCCGAGC